AGAAGTAATGTGCATTTTAAAGTTATAAATAATGAAAAAGCCTCAAAATAGACAAATAATGGAATATGGAGAGAGGTGTTGCTTGTTTTTGTTTTTTGCGTTCAAAGTACAAAACTGTTGAAAAAAAAAAACACGTATGCATGCAAAAGGGTGTACCCGACTTATAATATTCAAATTAATGCTATGAACATATCAATTTTCATCTTTCCGTGACTTTTTTCAATGTCGTAAATGAAAATGTAAATTCGAGATCGTGAATGATTTGCACATATCTCTTTTAGCTCAATACCATAATTTATAGATATAAGAAGATGTGGTATGAGTGCTAATGAGACAACTCTCCATTCAAATCACAATTTGTAAAAGCAAACCATTATAGGTCAAAGTACGGTCTTTAACACGGGGCATTGGCTCACACCAAACAGCAAGCTATAAAGGGCCCCAAAAATGACTAGTGTTAAAACCATTCATACGGGAAACAAAAGATCTAATCTATATAAAAAACGAGAAACGACAACACTTATGAACCATATCAACAAATGACAGCTACTGAATATCGAATTCCTGACTTAGGACAGGTGAAAAATGTAGCGGGTTTAAACGTGTTAATAGGTACCAACCTTCACTCTTATCTGAAACAATAGTGCAACGTCACAACATAGAAAGACACACTATAAAATATCAATTGAAATGACTTAACTCAATCAAAAGCATGTATGAATATTAATGACAGTTAATTCAAGTTTAAGAATATGCAGCTGCATTTCACTTTAAATGATCCTAGAAACCGGTTTATGCCAGCACAATCTATCTGTTCCCGATACCACATTTCCGATGTCATTCTTTTTTACATAAATTTGACCGGAAAAGAAGAAGAGAAATATTGTCTACTGGAAATTTGTTTTCTTCTACCATTTGGATGAAAATAGAAAATCAGCAGCCAGATTAAGTTTTTCTAGATTTTGAATTGATGTTTTGAAATTGTTTAGAAAAGCTGTGTCATCGTCTTCAGTTCTTCTTGAAGCTGTATTGTCATTTAATAATAAAGAGCCGGTCAGCATTTTTGAAAATTTTATGGAGAACGTAATCGAATTTGAGTGAGTGCTTTTTGCGACGTGGCAAGAGTGTTTTTTAGAGGAACCTGGTGATGAACTTGGAATGAGATTGACTGCTAGTGGCTTCGGGCAAATCTTATATGCAGGTCTGCTCAATGTTTTTTCTCCATGTTTGTGTGCATTTAGCCACAGCCATGACTTTTTTTCTGTCTATGATAGTAACTAAAAGGATGACAAATCTTGTTTCCGCATAAAACAAAATACTTTGAGTCTTTTTTCACTATTTATGAAATCAAAAGCACATTATTTATAAGACTTAAAAACAGGCAAAATGAAATACCCTAAGTTTGTTATTTGTTATCATAACAGAGTAGATGTGTTTGAATAATAAAGTATCAGATAAATGCCCTTTTCTAAGCAAATCTATTCATTTTTTTAATGAAGCCTCTACCCCTTGAGACGCAATATCTGACATCCCGAGCGACACTTTATATTTTGATGAAAAATTAGTTTTAAAACAAATACATTTTAACTAAGAAGCTGGTATTTGATTAAATTCCATGATAGAAATTCAATTCTATATAAATCATACGGGGGAATTTCGTCAAAAGTAGTTTTTTATCCAGAAATTTGCATATGAAGCCTCAAAATCTGCAACACAGAAAACTAGCGAGAGGTGTTTGATAAAACAGAGCACTGAAAACGTCTTCTTCTGCTTGCAGGAAATAGAGTATGTTTGGGTCTTTCCGTGCAATACATTAAATGGTACTAACTATTCTCAAAAAAGAAATTTTGATACTTGAACTTATCTTGATCGTTTTTCTTCGCTTCAAAACCGCCACCCCGTGTCAAGCATAGCCGACACCCCGCATGTGGCGTTCTACACGGTGAGTTATCCCAATGTGGAATTAAAAATCGCCTTAAAGAATTCACCCACAATGATTTTCAATATAAAAATGGTTGCATACGCTAAAAATGTATTGCTTTGGGATAACATATGGCATAATTTGTAAATAGTAAAGGAAAATTTTACACAGAGGAACAAGTGATTCAGTATTATAGAGATTTTTGTATTGACAACATAATTATTTAATTTTGGGGAACACTATTTAAAAAAAAAACTGTGCGCCTCTCTTTGTCGACATCTTCTTATTGTAACAAGAGTGAGAGTTCTTTCAGACACTTGTCAAATTCAAAAAGATCAAAGAAGCCATGTCATATAATTTCACATTTTGATATATATCTTCATAATGTTCTTTCCATAAACAACATAAAATGTCTAGTTTGGTACCATAAATGTATCCTCCAGAAGTAGAAATTAATGAAACAACATACACGGCTTTCTCCTCCTTATTTTTAGGCGAAATTTACATAACCGTTGATCTCAGTTCCAAACACTTCAGGAGTGAATTTCTTAGCTGTATTTGGCAAATTTGTTAGGAATTTTTGATTCTCAATGCTCTCCAACTTCGTATTTTTTAGGCCTTTGCAACCTATTTTTATTTGAGCGTTAATGATGAATCTATTGAAGACGAAACGTGCGTCTGGCGCAAATACTAAGTTTTAATCCTGTTATATGTAATGAGTTTATTTGTAACTAGAATTTGGGTTGGTCGTGCAAAGAGGTACGTGTTTACCCTATTTCAAAAAAGTTATATATGAATGAATGAATGAATGAATAGTTTATTAGAGTGCAACCTGAATATATACAATATAATGTGTATTGAGTAAAACATAATGATTCAGTCAGCCAAATAGGCTAATGATGCACTATCATGTTTTAACTTTAAACATAACAGATATAAGAAAATGAGGTCAAAATTATAACATTTAAAAATTTAGACATGCGTATTGTCTTTACTTCGATATTTACATTAGACAGATTAAACAGCTATAAATATTCACGTCTCATGTTGGAGCATTCTAAAAAAAACATTTGCTACACGTTTGCTATTAGCATTAAAGAGTACTGCAATTTCTTCGTTTAGAGGAAAGTTAATCAATGTTTACTGGGTGAACAGATGGTAACTCTTGTAACAGTTTTTTTTTTCGTTCATCAGTATATATTTAAATTAGATTAACAAGAATTAAAGCTGTTTCAAATTATTTTTATCCATTTCAAATCATTTTAATATCATTCAAATAAATTCCCTTGCGATCTAGAATCGATGATAAACAAGACAATTTAAATTTAGAATTGATAACTTTTCCCATCTAAGCAGTAAAAACGGTAAGAGAATCATTGGAAAATACCAAGACCTTGTTGATAAATATTCCGTATCAACTTCTAAAATAATACATGAAGGTCTTGAAGTATAGATTTTAGGTAATGATGATGTTTGTCAACATAATTTCGTGTTATGGTGTTCTTTTAATTTGACCTTGTAGATTTTCAACCTTTACAGTTTAGTCTATTTATGGTAATACAATTTGGCATGGCTAGGTATCAACACATCAAACCATTATGTTATTGTGCTATGGGCAATTTTGTATTCTTGTCTTTTATTGTAATATATGTTTCAATTCAGTATAAACTTTTAATCCAACAGAAAAAAAAAGGAAGAAAAAATTGACTATTTCATTTCACTCCATGTTTTGACACACTGGAGTTGTAAAACAAGACTGGTACCTTACAATCTTGTGATTGTTCATGTGAATTCACGTTATAAATAAAGACAACAGTAGTATACCGCTGTTCGAAAGTCATAAATCGATTGAGAGAAAACAAATCCGGGTTACAAACTAAATGTCATGTACGAGGACCAGGAATAGGAATCATATAAGCTACATCTAAATGATGTAAATTCACACCTGTTTTGCTTCATTGATACATTCAGACAACCTTGATTTACAAAAAGTCTAAATAATGTCACGAATAGCTGATAACAGTAAATATCTTATAAAAACATACCGAAAAAAGTTAAATTTCCTGACAACAAACATGTCTGGGACTTTTATAGCCGACTATACGGTATGGGTTTTTCTCGTTTACAATTGCCTATAATTGTTTACATCCACGTCATTTGAACTTTGGTAGATAGTTGTCTCATTGGCAATCATACCACATCTCCTTGGTCTCTGGTGGATAGTTGTCTCATTGGCAATCATATCACATATCCTTATTTATATATATATACACATAGAGCAAACCCTAACAGTGGTCATGAAAGTATCTTATGTTCTTGCTTCAGACGTAAAGCTCTGATTGAAGGTTGTATAATTATAAGGAATACGTTTACAAAAAAAGCATGATTGGAATCATAAGTTTATTGCATGTCGATTGTCGATAAAGAGTTTGCACATTCACTTACTCTTCTTTTGTATTACACATTCGATGATTTATCGTGCATTTGTATTATCATAACATTCTCTTTGTCATGTCATGTTATAGAGTTAATTATTTTAGTCTTTCGGGTATTGTAATGGTCTCGAATCATCTATTCACTAAGTCAAAAGATTTGGACCGCATTAAAAACGTTTTTGTGATATATATGTATATATTATGCGGTCAATATTAGCATCCAAGTGTTTAATGTGTATCACCAGCCTAGTAGCCATTACTTTGGTACTGACAACAAATATTGTTTGATTGAAATTTGTTGTTACAATATTTTGTAAATCATCTTAACTTTCTGAATACAAATCTCGGATTCCTTTTCCAGATTTTGTTAAGCTGTACGTCCTTTTTCATTTTAGCAGCTCATCGAGGTTTAGATTTCAAATACTTTGAACTCGACTGAAGAGACATAAAAATTTCAAAAAGGCACAATTAAATTATAGCTATAATATCATCAACGCTGTGTATAATTAAAAAAAATACCACACATTTCTAAAGACATAAAACTTACATATTTTGTATGAACAAACCTTGTTAAGGACAATATTTTGTTGCAAGACATAAATGATAAGCAGAATTAGGCAAAAAATAAGGCCACAGATAAATAACAAATTAACCCAAAATTTATAATCATCAAAACCTTGAACAATAGATTCCGATTGTCATTTAAAAAATATAAACAATGATGAACTATAAACTCTAATATAGTTGATTGCAGATCTGATACAAAAACTAAAATCAACAAGTTGAACTGTGTATAATATAAGTAGTGATATGACAAAATCAAATGAATGTTCCTTATTTTTCATCGTCAAGTTACTTCATTGTGATTCATAAATGTATATAAAGTTAAAGAACATAAAGTTTTCTTATTTATATATATTTTGAAAAGAAGACACTGTACTTGTCTTAAGATTTCATTATGTTTACGTTTAATTACCAATTGAAGGTGATTTGGTTGCTTTTTAAGACTTTAGTTGTATTCAGTTGTTTTTGAAATAGGAAAATTATGCCGTTATATAATGAATAAAACATAAGTTCCATATAGTTTGTATAAACCTATTTTAAACATAATGCCTTATCTGGCTTATTTCATTCCATTAAGAGCTGTTATATACTTTAAATGCTATATTCTTTCGTAAATAAAGCAGTTAAAATTGTAATATATTGCAACATAATGATAAGCCAAAACTTTTTAAGATGGTTAAAATTAGTAAAAAACAAACCTAAATAATTAACATACACCAATTTGAAGTTACGACACATACTTTTCTTTTGAGTATATAATACAAATTGTTTGTACATCAACACATTTGATAATAATCATACAATGATTCATACTGTGTCATGAGTCAAGAGGTGCTTCTAAACAACAATGAAAAATACCAATTAAATAATTATTCTGCAGGTCCATGTGTCTGTTATTGTAGGATGGCATGTATCTAAAATATGTTATTCATGTTCTTAATTATTCGAAAGATATAATGGTTACTCAATAAACAAAATTTATTCTGTTCAAAATTTTTTCAGAACAATAGACAGTCATACATGTAATTAGACGATAGTGTTGTTTCTATGAAAATAGGGGCATTCTGAAAGCACCTTGATCATGTTGATATGTACATGGTGTACTTTTAATGGATCCTGTGTTAGTACCTACCATTAAAATAAAACAATGAAAGTCAGAATTTGTATTTTTAAATGACAAAGTCTGTGTCAACTTGTTATCACATTTATCATATTTGATCATGTTATTCTTATTTCAGACTAAGTTGCTGGCGTAGTAATTAAGGTGGCTAGCGGGTATAAATCGATTTTTTTTTAAATAAAGGATTTCGCTATTTTTGTTTCTATAAATAATCTTTATCATATACTTAATAGAAAATAAAATAAAAAAATGGGGTCACCGTTCATCTGCCTTCGAAAAAAGCATGCATTTTTGTTGAGGTACTTTTTTTCTGTTGAACTAATAGGAGAAGTAGAGTTAATATCGAAATAAAACAAGAACTAAATTACATAAATCGCTTAAATTTTACTATTTTCTAGTTTAAGTACAGCTTATTTGAAAAAAAATTTAAAAAAATAGGTCACCGATGAGTTAAAACAGATATTTAAAGTTTAATGCAAAAAAAAATGGCATTCTTGTACCAAAGGGAGATACTTTGGAGCTTTTTCAATAATATAGACATTTTGAAAGTCATCTGGGGCCAAAATAAATCTATTTATTTGGTTGATTTTTGTACCATGTCATAAAGTAACAACTAATAGTGTAATAAATAAAATTTGTACTGAAAATAAAGATGTTTGAATTTTTGCTGAAAACTTTGTACTCTCGAGCCTCCTTAAATGCGTCATCTCATTCATGTTTTGTCGGCTACATGTACATATTATTAATATTTATCTTCCTTTTATTTCAATTAATGGGGTTATTTAATTAAAGTTTTCTATTCACACATATACAATCTAAAAAAAAATCTATCCAAGAATGTTCAATTTACAAAAAAACAATACATATATATACTTACATGACTTACTTCAAGCTCGGTAAATCATGAACATCAACTTTGTTCTAAAATAAAAAAAAAACGTTTTTGAACATGTTAAAGAACAACCCTGCTGCTTATTTCGGACCACACAATGTATATTCAAGAGTAGGAAAATAATAGTCACTACAAAGATTTCCATGTTAATGTTAAGCCAAGAAGATTATGGAAACTTTTGATTATATAATAACCCATAATTCATTTTTCTATTCCTTTCATAGACTTGTATTCATTTTATTTTGATGTACCTGTTAACGATATTGTTTGATTTTTGACTCAAAGAATAACAGGAATACATTTTATAGTAATAGTAATATTAGTGAAAAGTTTATAATCAGTTTGTGTCTCTCTTAGGTAAAGTAGACCTAAGATTAATAAGATTATCCTTTTCAGCACCCTTTATGTCATTAATATTGGTGCGTGTCTATATATGTGTGACTTCTCTTGCTTTTAAATAATTGTTTTGTTTTTAAATGTACTGCATTCACAAAAACCAAAATGCCTGAGGATTATAAATTTACAAATAGAAAATATTGTTAAAATAATCTACCATCGAAACAAGAGTTAACATTTAAGTTACATGGGTGTCAGATATTGATCAGGACAAAAATTGTCCGCTGATAAATTTGGAAATTATAAAAAAAAAACTAAGGTTTCAAGTTTCTCAGGCAAACTTGACCTTAAATAGATTTGATTTTTATTTTTTTTTAGGTTTTTTATATACTAGTTTTTTAACTGTTTAGGTTCATTCACATCAATATATTCGACTTTGAGCGTTATTGGTGAAGGCAAATCCATAAAAGTGGTCTTGAAACATGATGCTTATAATGCGTTGTTTCAATTTTTAACGAAATATCGTAAATAGAGATTTCACTGCTTATATCATAAGTGCAGTATTCTTTGCATTCAAACTCACATGCTTAATAAAAGAGGGACGAAAGATACCAGAGGAACAGTCAAACTCATAAATCGAAAACAAACTGACAACGCCATGGCCAAAAATAAAAAGACAAACAGACAAATAATAATACAGATGACACAACATAGAAAACTAAAGACTAAGCAACACGAACCCCACCAAAAACTTGGGGTGATATCAGGGGCTCCGGAAGGGTCAGCAGATCCTGCTCCACATGTGGAACCCGTCGTGTTGCTAATGTTATTACAAATTCGGTAAATAGTCTAATAAGGCTTACTTTGAAAATTCTCTGTTAATATAAGAAATTATTCAGAACAGGACGGAAAAGGTTCCAACTCCTTAAGGTTAACTCTATCGTTGATATATTTAGATGTGTCATTTGGTTAAAAAACAAAGCTTTGAATTTCTTTGTTTTTCAATCGATGTATCTATTACTATAACATAAAGTATTTATTGAAATGTCTATATAAGCATAAGCCAGGATCGACCATGCAAAATCCGCAAGGGTAGTCAAGGTCTTTGTCTGTTGAAACCTTTAAGGTTTCTTTTTTTTTTAAAGGGAAGTAACTCATAATGCCAACAACAACAACTTGTAAGCTATGAATGTGTTTTATAAATTTATTGCAGTCTTTATCATCTATTTTTTTTCGTCTGTTGAAACCTTTTACATTTTCCTCAACACCGTGTTGTTTAAATAAGGGATGTGCCATCTTTTTTGTTTTGAAAGGGAAGTAACTCCTTATTTACCCCATATGGTAACTAACCCTATATAGTAACTAACCATGTACTTTTTAGGACACCCTATATCAAATATATATAGTCACAACATTGAGCCCTTAAACCAATCATATCACTATAAATCTTTAGGAGGTAAGATAAATATATATATATATATATATATATATATATATATTTATAGTTCATGATTTGTTAATACTTTTTTGTTTATTAATTTCAAAGGAACTCGGTGTATTTATTGTTTCTTTGAACGTTAACAGATTTTGGCTTCATATCGTCTTTATATTTGTCTTTGTTCTCCTCTGTAAAAGCGAAAAAAGATAAACCAACTGTGTTTTTGTAATAAAAGAATATTAGTGTTTTTAAAATAGTGAATAACTCAGACCTTTGTGGTACACTACAAGCATTAGTATTAAAACGCTAGAGTAAATTGTTTAAAAACATGATCGGAACTGAAATTCAAGCCTCATCTAAGCGTTTTTTGTTTGATAAACATGGCTTTGTCATGTTTGTGGTGACTGCTGTCCGTTCGAATGGCTCGATTTCTGCCAGGGTAAATATGATCCTAGAAAATTAAAGTTCAGATTGAAACTACATCCAAATACATTTATTGTGGAAAGCAATTTAAAATAATCTAGATATTGCACAATTAACGAATATACCAGTGTGTTTTCTCCTTTTGGAATAACATGTAATGAATCCACCTATCATCGTACCGAGTCCCACAATTGAACCTATAGTGCCAAATACAGCCTCCATTATTACACCTAAAATACAAATATCATAAAAAAATTGACTTGTTAAACATGTATCGCCACCTTCGATAACTATATATTTGTTCATATATTTGAATATGTTGCCAAAAATAAAGTGTAGGTGACATGTGTATGACTTACACAAAATCATCCTTATCACGCAATTGATGAAAATGTTTAAAGCTGAAAGAATAAGACATTCCATCATAAATTTTAAATCATATTCTCCCAACAAAAATGCAGTTAAAAATATCAGAATGTTAGGACCATATTGAGGAGTTAGTTACTCAACTCTTAACATATTCAAATCGTCACTAATTAACATATGTTAGAAAAAGTAAAGATATTGTGGATATTTGTTACTTATTTAAATTACTGTCTTTTATCTCTTGTCTGTCATGGCGTTGGCGGATTGTTTTCGACTTCTTAATCTTCAAGTGAGGCAAAAGATAGCGGACGGACATTCAAACGCATAGGTCGAAAATAAACTGACAATGCCTAAAAAAAAATGACAGACATACAAACAGACAAACTTAAAGACAGACACACAATTGTACACGCAACACACCAATATCCCTTTAGTATCCTTCGATGTGGAATGTTTCCAGTCTAAAACCGTGTTTTATTTACAGATCTTGCTTGATGACTTGTATGATATTTCTTGGAGGTGAATAATACTTTTTGGAAATGGGTGTCGACTACAGATTGTTTAAAGCATTTGTTTGTTAAATAAACAAGTCAAAAACCCCAACCTTGCCATATTGTATACACATCGTTTATATTTTTGTGGCAATTCATGTTTAAATTGTATCTTCTTCAAACCATGTTGAAAACGTCTAAGAGAAACAACACGTCATTACTTACTGTCATCATCGTCGGATTCATGGTTTATTATGCCTGACAGGGAATCCAAAACTGTAAAAGAGTTCAATTGTAATAATTGACTATATAAAATTCAGAATGGAAATGGGGAATGTGTCAAAGACAACGACCCAAGCAAAGAGCAGACAACATCCGAAGACCACAAATGGTTCTTCAATACAGCGAGAAAATCCCGCATCAGCAGGCGTGCTTCGGCTGGCACCTTAACAAAAACGTGTACAAGTTCAGTGATACATAGTGGACGTCATACTAAACTCCGAAATATATAAAAGAAACTTATATTAAAACTTTTAAAATGGGGCTGCCATAATCTCTACAAGGTTTTGCTTTTTTAATTTTTATGACATCACTTTTAAATATGTTTAATTGACTAATAAATATAAAATGTGTATAGCGTTTCGTTATGTTCTCTTATGATTTTTCTTACTTAAAATTGATATATTATTGTTGAATTTTACTACAAGTGTTCAACAATGAAGGATAATCATTAACGTTTGTTGATATATCGCATTTTTAATTGTCTAGTAATGCATGTATCAATTACAGAACACGACTAACCTTTTAACACTGTTTCTACACCACTTTCTATTCCGACAGGGTTTCTTGCAAAACAGGTATATTTTCCAGACATCGACACTGAAGCCGACTGAATTGTTAATGACGGATCGCTGACAGTAGATCCTTCTACTTGTAACGAATATTTATTTATGATTGTGGTTGAATTACTTGTTTTTCTCTCCCAATACACTTCCGTCGCTGATGGAATTGCTTTAATATCGCAGTTGAGTGTTACGTCAACACCAGCTTCTACAGTTAACGGGTCGTGGGGAACAGTCACTTCCGGGATTGCTACAATATATAAGTAACAGTTCTATTATTCATTCTAATATGACGTTTTTTCAAACGTTTTCAGTACACACTATTGGCAAAATATGATATTCTTGCATGTCAGCTTTTGGTCAAATTCATATTTAATTGCTCTGTTCTCATCAAACCCCCACGTAGTATGCTTTTTACGAATGAGTTACGCGAAGTAAATCGGTATAAATCACGTCATTGAATGATAACGTAAAATATGTGAAATGTACGGATGTAAAACTGAAAGTCGTAAAAAAACGGAAACAAAAAATAAACGATCATCAAAATTTATTGAAAGCCACTTTTCAAAATACAATTAAAAAAATCATTTAACTTCGTCCAATCTGGTCTTAGTATTTTATTGAAAGTCACAGGTTTCGTTGTCTTTTGACGTCAACATTAAGTTTGTTTAGTTACTGGAGCAGCTGATATTTGCTTTTATCTAGTGCGCTTCGATTTAAACAAATGTGTCATATTAGAATACAATTATCCATAGATTGTTTTAACTTGATAAGCAAAAATATGGTAGATCAATATAAAATCAAGCTCCCATGAATTATCTTTTAAATATAAACTTGATAAACTTGAAGATTTAAAATTTGATTGAATTATAAAAAAAAGATGTGCTATAATTTCCAATATGACAACTCTCCTAAATGGACCAAAATGACACATACATAACAAAATATAGATAACCGTACGGCAATGAGTAAAGCCCAAACAGGAAAGTCAGCTATATAAGGCCCCGAACTGACGAATTCTAAACAATTCCAGCAAGAAAACTAACGGCTTAATGTATGTACCAATTCTAAATGACAAACTAAAAACAAATATGTAACACAGCAATAAACGACAACTATCCTCCCCTTAGCCTGGGACAGTGGTGTTACAGTACAAAATAGGAACAAACTAAAGGATTCAATTAAAAAGGCTTAACTCATTAGATGGATACAAAATATAAATACATCTCACAAAAACACAGAGCAGACGTGAACGGGTACTTGTGCATCCAAACAAAAAAGACACAACGTACAAATTTTAGAGCATGTACAGATACTGGCAGCTAGTTCAAAGCCAATAACAACTAATAAAATAAACCATGCAACTTACACTTAATTATTAATCAATACGCATCTAACATTCAAAAGATTTAGTATAAAGACGTCATAAACAATCAGAGAAAATGATGCTTTTGGGCCATACCTATTGCAAGATACATGTACTAGTATCGACAGGTTGTAGAGCCATGAATGTAGATAAATATATAACAATAATCTTTAGTTTGCTTTTAATTCAATGAAAACAAAATCAATATTGATACCAATGAAAACAATATTCAAAGATCAAATTATTGATGAACCGGTCACCTTTTGGTATAATTGTTATATTTAGTAAAATACTAACAAGCAATGACTTCGTGTATTGTATCACGAGTCAAAAAAAAAAATACCTGTGCTGTTTGAAATCAGATAACACAAGCATAACACAACATATGCTTTGCTTTGTTTATTTACAAACAGATGGAGTTGTATTTGGTTTATTTGTAGTACGTTTATTAAGCCAATTCACATGTTTTGGAGACTGAAACATTCTTGAGAATTAGTGCGGTTATTTTCCTATTATTTCCGAGAGCATCTACAAATATTAATACAAGTGATAAGCACTGACGATTTTATAACGATATTGTTCAGTTGTGTAATATTGTAGTGGAGTTAAAATTGTGGCGATGTTTTTGCAGATAATTTTAATACACATCTTAAGTAAGAGTCCGTTAGTAAGATTATACATGTTAATTATTTATAAAGATTTTAAATTGAGTTATTTCAGTTAGTTTTGTCAAAAAATGTTTCTATTACACATCTTTGTGTTTGAGTGACATAGTATCGATGAAACTAGTTACCTGCTCGCACAATCAATATGACAGGTTTACTTCCGGTTATTCCGACTACGTTCTCAGCTACGCAACTGTAATTGCCGTCATTTGCAGGAGTTCCTGATTTGATTGTTAATGAAGGAGTCTCTACAGTACTTCCAGACATTCCAGGGAATCCGTCATGTATGAATGTAACATGGTTTTGACTGTTAATTTTTTTATACCAGTAAATCTTTGTTATTTTCGGTGTTGCATTAACGATGCATCTAAGTGTGACTTCCTTTCCAAAGTTAGTTGAAACAATCGATTGTGTTGTTATGACTGTTGGTTTCTCTATAGAAAACTTTAATCATTTTATATAATTGTATGTATACCAAGACATTGAATCGGAAACGCATATACTGAGTTACATATGTCATTGTTAAAGAGACCCATTAATTGCATCTTTATTAAAATACTTCAATATTCATTTTTAGTTTGTATTAGTATTAGTACTCTCCTTTGGTATAACAAATGGAAGATGTGATTTGATTGACAGTGAGAAAACTTGCCATCAGAGGACAAATTAAATAATTGTGTCCGCATTTCAGGTTGATAATTCACGAGGAAACTGTTCTTTGAGAGATATTTCAAAATGCCTTTGTACATTATTTTTATTTCCGTCGAAGCTGTCGTTGGTATTACTATTAAAATGCAAATATCAAATGATTTACTTCAGTCGTGTACACGAAACAATACTTGATTGTTTAGTTGATTGTCTGTACTTAATTACCATTGGCTATATCGCTACAGGCAATTTTGTTCAACAGATTAACTAGCGGTCCTACTAAATTTCAATAGGCAAAACGCACCATTATCTCACAAACTTAGAACCAAGAGGATTATAATATTAAAGAATTCTAGAGACCGTTTGAAGGGAGACAGGAGCGAGGGTTTTTCACATTCATAAATGATTTGCAGTATACCATCTTCTCCGCAAGTTTATTGTTTTCTGTTTGGTATTAAATTAATAGTTAACATCCATTTTGTTACATCTGGTGATCCGTTTATTTGGCAATCGCCAATGGCAGTCAGCAGGGTTTAAGAACATCAGTTGTTCGACCTGTAAGTCAAATGCGTTTTGTTCAAATAGACTTTTGTACTTTTTGGTCTTTTGGAAAATGTTGTTTGTGCTGTATTTAGACCCCTCTACCAAGAAATTTGTTTTACATGCACACATATGAAAATTGCGGTTTTTATCCAACGCAATCATAGGTTTGAACGTTGTTTTCAATTTAGACTATATATATATATATATATATATAAGTGCCTATAAATAGCAGCACATGACATACAAATCTATGGGAGTGTGGATTAATCAGTACAGAGATTAATTCAATTACACAAATAAAATTATAGATTGCCTAACAATGTAATTTTAACACACTATTTAGTATGTTAATATAAGAATGTTTAAAATATTTACAAAATGATGAAAATAAACGCAATATTTCGCTAGACTAACTAGCTTTATCAAGCGTGCATCTATCCAGGTGAAATCGGATGTAGATGATAAGAAATTTTTGCAGCTCAATGTATATGTTGCATTTGAATTTAGCTGCCTTGAAAATAATACATAATTTGGATGAAGTTCAAGATTTTTACAAAATTGGTAGTTGAAGTTAGCAACGTCCATTGGCCAATATTACAAGATAAAAAGGACGATGCTGTGTACTAAATTATTCTTTATCTTTCCTGTATCTTTTCTCATCTTTTTCGTCGAGACCATCAGGTTCTAAAGTGTGAAGTTGGTGGATCCAAAAATTTTCTCTTCTCCTTCTCGCCGTGGTGTCCCACTCGGTGTTGACTTCTATGATTTGGAAAGTAACATTATCAAAAAAATGTTTCGTTGAACGAAGATGTCTTGTGAGAGGACAGTTTTTGTTGGTTTTGTACCATGAACGATGGTTATTGAGCCGAATATTAAATTTGTCCATTGTTTCTCCCACATACTGAATGCCACAAGTGTCACATGTTAATATATAAATTGAGTTCTCCGTTTTACAGTTGGAATTTGAGTAGATGGTATAATTTTGATTAGTAACGGAGCTGATGAAATAACTGCTTGTATTGGCAGCTTTACAACACAAGCAGTTCCTTCGACCATATTGTTTGTAGCAACCGGGAGATGGAGTAGGCTGCTTTGCTAATACAGATGTCACTAATTTGTCACGGATGTTTTTAGGTCTTCTGAAGGCCATGACTGGTGGCGAGGAAAATACTTTTTTTAAGATTTAAATCATTTTCTATAATTTTCCAATGCTTCTGAACAATGGAAGACACATTTTAAAATCAGGATGGTAAGTGAGTACAAGGGGTGTTCTGTTAGCTGCTTTATTCTTATCTTTGTACTCTAGAAGTTCTTGGCGACTAGTTTTGTTTGCTCTTTCGAAAGCGCTATCAATGATGTTGTTATTGTATCCTCGAACAACTAGATGTTTACGTAGTTGTCCAAGTCTAGCATTTTGCGTGTTTTCAGTAGAGCATATTCTCTTGATTCGTAATGCCTGGCTGAATGGGATGCCACGGGAGCAGTGTTTAGGATGGCAACTTTTAGGAGAAAGGAATTGATGTTTGTCCGTTTGTTTGGTATGAAGGTCCTTTATAATGGTTCCGTTCTTGTTGTAACTCGTAGTGTCGAGGAGGTTTATTTTCTCCATAGATGATTCATATGTAAATTTTATTGAATGGTGGAAAGAGTTACAGTGTCCTAGAAATTCATTAAGATGTTCTTGTGAATCTGTCCATTTGAAATCAATATCGTCAATGAATCGGAACCATGATAAGGGCTGGTATGGAGCACTAGCCAAGAGCCGTTTTTCAAGTTGGCCCATAAATATGTTGGCATATGACGAGGCCATTTTTGTGCCCATACTAGTACCGTCTATCTGGAGATAATATTTTTCATTGAAAGAGAAGTTGTTGTTCTCTAGCACTAGTTTCAGAAGTGTAACAAGGCACTCAGTTGGAGGATTTTTTTCACTACGAGTGTTCCATACCTCTTCACACGCTGCTATTCCTTCGTCTCGTGGAATGTTGGTATATAAAGAAGACACGTCCATGGATGCAGGTATAGTATTGCTTGGTAGAGGATTGAGGCTTTCCATTTTCTTTAGATAATCAGTCGTATCTTGAATGTAAGAGGGTAGTTCTTTCACATGAGGTCTTCGAATAGTATTTAGTGTTGGATCTGTGGTTAATTGTTTATAAAAAATGGAGTTTGAGAGTTGGCGATTTCCTTCTGCTATGTAATCTGTTTTATTCATGACAACCACAGCGCCCCCTTTGTCGGCAGGCTTTATTACGATATCCTCTTGATCTTTTAACGCTTTCAAAGCAATGCTTTCTGACTTGGATAAATTATAATTTCTTGTATTTGTTATACAGGACTTTATATCAGACCTCACGTAGTTAATGAATGACTCCAAGTTATTATTTTTACTCTTAGGTGGTTTCCATGAACTTTTTTCTTAAATTTTGGGATGGGCGTGACTTCTTCATTGGTGTCAGTATCTGAATTCTGATAAGAAAATTCCGAAAAGATATCAGAATTTGTAGTCCATCATCTAAGACCTCATGTGAAAGAACTACCCTCTTACATTCAAGATACGACTGATTATCTAAAGAAAATGGAAAGCCTCAATCATCTACCAAGCAATACTATACCTGCATCCATGGACGTGTCTTCTTTATATACAAACATTCCACAAGACGAAGGAATAGCAGCGTGTGAAGAGGTATGGAACACTCGTAGTGAAAAAAATCCTCCAACTGAGTGCCTTGTTACACTTCTGAAACTAGTGCTAGAGAACAACAACTTCTCTTTCAATGAAAAACATTATCTCCAGATAGACGGTACTAGTATGGGCACAAAAATGGCCCCGTCATATGCCAACATATTTATGGGCCAACTTGAAAAACGCCTCTTGGCTAGTGCTACATACCAGCCCTTATCATGGTTCCGATTCATTGACGATATTGATTTCAAATGGACAGATTCACAAGAACATCTTAATGAATTTCTAGGACACTGTAACTCTTTCCACCATTCAATAAAATTTACATATGAATCATCTATGGAGAAAATAAACTTCCTCGACACTACGAGTTACATCAAGAACGGAACCATAATAACGGACCTTCATACCAAACAAACGGACAAACATCAATTTCTTTCTCCTAAAAGTTGCCATCCTAAACACTGCTCCCGTGGCATCCCATTCAGCCAGGCATTGCGAATCAAGAGAATATGCTCTACTGAAAACACGCAAAATGCTAGACTTGGACAACTACGTAAACATCTAGTTGTTCGAGGATACAATAACAACATCATTGATAGCGCTTTCGAAAGAGCAAACAAAACTAGTCGCCAAGAACTTCTAGAGTACAAAGATAAGAATAAAGCAGCTAACAGAACACCCCTTGTACTCACTTACCATCCTGATTTTAAAAATGTGTCTTCCATTGTTCAGAAGCATTGGAAAATTATAGAAAATGATTTAAATCTTAAAAAAGTATTTTCCTCGCCACCAGTCATGGCCTTCAGAAGACCTAAAAACATCCGTGACAAATTAGTGACATCTGTATTAGCAAAGCAGCCTACTCCATCTCCCGGTTGCTACAAACAATGTGGTCGAAGGAACTGCTTGTGTTGTAAAGCTGCCAATACAAGCAGTTCTTTCATCAGCTCCGTTAATAAACAAAATTATACCATCTACTCAAATTCCAACTGTAAAACGGAGAACTCAATTTATATATTAACATGTGACACTTGTGGCATTCAGTATGTGGGAGAAACAATGGACAAATTTAATATTCGGCTCAATAACCATCGTTCATGGTACAAAACCAACAAAAACTGTCCTCTCACAAGACATCTTCGTTCAACGAAACATTCTTTTGATAATGTTACTTTCCAAATCATAGAAGTCAACACCGAGTGGGACAACACGGCGAGAAGGAGAAGAGAAAATTTTTGGATCCACCAACTTCACACTTTAGAACCTGATGGTCTCAACGAAAAAGATGAGAAAAGATACAGGAAAGATAAAGAATAATTTAGTACACAGCATCGTCCTTTTTATCCTGTAATATTGGCCAATGGACGTTGCTAACTTCAACTACCAATTTTGTAAAAATCTTGAACTTCATCCAAATTATGTATTATTTTCAAGGCAGCTAAATTCAAATGCAACATATACATTGAGCTGAAAAGTTTCTTATCATCTACATCCGATTTCACCTGGATAGATGCACGCTTGATAAAGCTAGTTAGTCTAGCGAAATATTGCGTT